ATCTTGGATGGGATTTGATTGGGAATTGTGACAGGCTTTCATAATATGAGAAGAAAAACCAAAGGCCATACTAATACTTTTATCTGCCACATTGTTTTATTAGTTTATTCAAACACACATATAAACACACAGATACACATTATGAAGACCCAGTCAGTCTGCAAGAAAATATTTTAATAGGAATTCCATAAAATATTTAGTCTGTTGAGATCTGATTAGAATTTATAGAAATATCTAGTGGCTTCCACCCCTGGACAAGTTATTATCATTGGTAAAGATGTTGCCATTTGATTTTAGAATGCCCCAGAAAGACCTATGTGTTAAAGAAAAATGACATTCCAATTCCTCCCAGACTGTGGAGCATACCTGAATAGTTCTTCTGGAGATTAAGTTCTTCAGAGTGAAACCCATTAGAAAATAGACTCCCATCTTCTTTCTTCTTTTATATTTTAATCATTCTAGGTAAAAATCATTTCTCTTTGACATACTCCCCTCCTTGACATTGTCTTGTCACTGGCCCCCAAAGCAATAAAACTAGCTGAACATACACTGAACCATTCAATCTTGTAAATCTGAGTAAGCCTTTTTGCTTAATAAATGGCAATATCACTTCTTATGGTAGGTTATAAAGCTAACCCAAAGTTCTAGTCTTTCTAACAATGTAGAGTATATTAAAATGTGCTTCATTATAAAATACCTAACTCCATGTTGTATATTGTGTTTTTTTTTTCTATTGATCCTAGCACTTACAATCAGGGTCTAACTGTAGAACTCTTCGCAATAAATAATCACATTACTTTTATGATTCCTTAATTTAACTTGTTTTCCTACAAATTTATAGAATAGTGTAGCTATGGAAAATCAATAAATATTAAATTTTGATATAAGATTACCTATCACTGCAAGTGTTGTCAAAATTTATCTACACTGAAATGATTGCCATTGATATCTTTCTCAAGATTCCAAATGTTTATAATTTCAGCTGATCTTTTACAAAACTCATACCACAAACATAATTTTTATTTTGTCCATGCAGTCATAGGTCCATAAATATATGGCACAAAATGTTAATTAACTTTATCTGCTGTCATTAATGGAGTACACCTAATAGAATTAAGTACATACCTTCAGGGAAATAAGATACTTCCTTCTAAGTCCAGACTTGCAAGCAGACAGACAGACACCCACACCCACACACATACACACAACCACACACTCACACACACACACACACACACACACACACACACACTTACCACTCTGACTCAGGTTAGGTTCTAGACATTGGGTATTAGATAATGATCTATTAATCAAATTTTCTTGTCCAGACATAAAAAACATTCATAATTCCACACATACAAAAACACCACATCATTCAAAATAATGAGAATATTTAACAGAATCACCCTGCTCTGAGCCATCTACTCCCTGATTTCATTCATACATGTCGATGCATTTTTCATATCATAATTAAAAATCTTTTTGTATCTCTCTGAATAACAGATAATATGTTATCATATAAGAGAAAATGTAGGTAAAATTACTTTTTGCATATGAAATAATGACATTCCTGAGGATAAACCATGCCTGTTTTTCAATTTGGTTGCCAAAATGGAATTATTAGACCTTTTGAATATTTAACTTTAAATCTGAACCTTCAAGTTTCACTAGGATTTGAATTGTGTTACTTACAACATTAATGTAAAATAAAAGCATTACTAAATAGAAAGAAAATTATAAGTTTATCACACCTTAATCCCTGAATTGACTTTATGATAAAAACAATTACATTTATATAACATGATAAACATCCTGAAACAAACTATGAGGTATGGAAACAGAATACTCCATTTTTTGGTTAGTGTATGTTGTTGTTAATTTATAGTTTGTGATGATTCTGTCTTCTTTACCTTATGCATGGTATATTCATTCTACGTCTTCAGGAAGGTGTGGGTGGGCAAAGAGCTTTAGGGAAAGGGTGAAAAAATGAAGCAGTGGATTTCCTTGAACATTGATAGAAGTGGACTATTTAACACATGGGTGGGGAAAGAAAGGAGGGAATGGGAAAATATGAGGGAATTGAAGACATTTCATAAAAGGAAATGTACTCATTACCTTACTCATGTAATTGTAATAACTCTATAAATCAACTTAATAACAGAGTAAATTTATTTTAAAAAGGCAAACAAAACATTGTTCCTTAGAATCTTACAAGTATGTTTTGTTCACTGGTTTGAGCTGGTTGAGTCTATCTCTGAAAATAGCTACATTTACATTTATTGGGCGAATTTTTGAGGTACTAGTAGATAAAAGTCAATTATGATTGTATGTTTTTCTGAGGCTCTGATTCATTTATTTCTTTAATCTAATTTGTATAATTTCTATCTACCAGTTTTTGAATTGGCTTGTTCCTGTTTTTCAAGGACATAGTGGTGCATTATTAGTGCTGATTTAAAATTGTTCTAATTTGTTGATGTACATACTCAAAGCTATAAATTTTCCTGAGTATTGCCTGTGTTCTTGTGTCCCAGAGGAGGTAGTATTTTGTCTGTTCACTTCCACTGAATTACATAAACTTTGGAACTTCCCTCCATATGTCTTCTGTGACTCACTGATGATTTAGCAATGTGTTATTCAGTCTCTGTGAGTTTCAGAACTTTTTGTGATGCCTTTTGATGTTGAGATCTAATTTGGTCCCATTGTGGTCTGACAGGATACAAGAGGTAATTTCATTTTTTTTTTTTTTTTTTGGTCCGGTCGTGGGGCCTGAACTCTGGGCCTGGGCGCTGTCCCTCAGCTCTTCAGCTCACGGCTAGCGCTCTACCACTTGAGCCACAGCGCCACTTTCGGCTTTTTTCTTTCTGCTTATGTGGTGCTGAGGAATTGAACCCAGAGCCTCGAGCATGCAAGGCAAGTGCTCTACCACTGAGCCACCTTCCCAGCCCCGGTAATTTCATTTTTATTTTTGAATTTTCACAGATTTTCTTTCTGATCTAAGATATGATCTATTTTGGAAAACGTTCCATGGGCTCTTAGGTATAGCTTATCAAACTAGGTATTTGGTTGTGATTTTTTTTCGAGATTTTGACCTGGATGGCCTGTCCAGAGGTAAGAATGATGTGTTCAAGCAACCAACAATGTGATTGGATGTATGCATATTTTTATGGCAAGTAGTATTTGTCTGATGAATTTGAGAGATCTAGGATTCAGGGCATTGATATTTAGCATTGTTATATCCACCTGATTCAGACTTTCCTTTACCAACATTTAATGTTCTTTTTAGTCTCTTTTTACTTTTATACCAATTTTAATTTAAAGCCAATCTTATCTAATATTAATATAACTATTCTCGCCTGTTTATGAGGTCCATTTTTAATTTGTAAAGATGATGTACAGAAGGAATCCAATTACATAAGTCAGATGATGAGCACATTTCTTTTTCAACAGTGTCACCTCTTCCCTCATGTTCTCCCAGTTTTTCTCTTTCAACCTCCCTCCCCCATAAATTGTATAGTTCATTTACAAGGTAATGTCTATTGTATGGAACTGCCACATTTGTTCACCCTTTCCCACCATTTCTGTGTTTCCCCTTGCCCTTTCTAAACTTACATATAAGACCAAAGGTGCAGAAATTAAAACAAAATTACAGCATCCGAATTCAGATGGAAAAAGCAAAATAATAAAAAAAACTGTCATTATCATTTCTTGGAGATCAATTTGATGAACATTATATTATATGATAATATTCATATAGCTATTGAGCCTTTGTGATCCTCTCCAAAGTGCATCCTCCTTTGATCTCACTGTATAAATGTATAGAATCCCATGTAATTTATCATATCCAAATGTAATATTTTCTCTTTTATCATCCAAGTGTGTCAAGGTGTAGAATTAGAGGCACATTCTAATACAAGAATTGAGGGAAATCGGGCAACCTATATTTCTTTGAGTATTACTTTCTTCCCTTAATATAGGTTTGTTCCAAGTCTTTCCATTTCCTTATGAATGGTGTAATATCATTTTTTTTCTGGGTGAATAGAGTTGCATTATACTAAAGAGTTTCTTCATGGCAAAGGAAAAAGTTAGCAGGGTATATAGAAAGAGAACAGAAAGGAAGAAGATTTTTACTAACTAAGCATTAGACAAGGATTTACATAACTAACCCATATTTACAGATCAAATAAACTCTCAAATAAACAAGAGCCCAATTAATATATGGGATAATGACTTAAAGAGAACTTCTTAGAAGAAAAGTAACAATGACAAATAGACATACCTGTCTCCATGAAAGAAATGCAATTCCAAACAACACTGAGATTCTTTTCACCCCTGTTACAATGTCATTATGAAAAAACGAACAATCACAGATACTGATAGGGATGTGGTCCAAAGGAAACTCTATTTCATTGTTGGTGGAAATGTAATCTTGTTCAACGACTATGGAAAACACGATGGAGGTTGCTCACAAAACTGAATAGAGAGCTCCCTGTGATCCAGCAATTCCACTTATGGGCATTTATCCAATAGAGCAGAAACAAGGCCACACTGAAGCTGCCAGCACAATCATGTTCATTGTTGCATTATTTTCTGTAGCCAACATATGGAATCAGCCCAGATGCCTCTCACTGACAAAAGCGATCAAGAATTGTGTGCTCGTGTATATGAATTATATATATATAATTTCATTGATCTCTATTTACAAGTATGTATGTATATATACATACATAATCAAATTTTATTAATCAATCAGAAAGAATCATATTGCACCATTCTTTTTTGGGGGCGGGGGATCCAGTCGTGGGGCCTGAGCTCTGGGGCTCTAGTGCTGTCCCTCAGCTCTTCACCTCAAGGCTAGTGCTCTACCACTAGAGCCACAGTGCCACTTCCGGATTCTTTCTTTTTGCTTAGGTGGTGCTGAGAAATCGAACCCAGGGCCTCATGCATGCAAGGCTAGTTCTCTACCACTAGAGCCACAGTGCCACTTCCGGATTCTTTCTCTTTGCTTAGGTTGTGCTGAGAAATCGAACCCAGGGCCTCTTGCATGCAAGGCAAGCGCTCTACCACTGAGCCACCTTCCCAGGCCCTATTGCACCATGCTTAAGGAAAATGAAAGACTTAGAAATAGTCATATTAAGTAAAATTAACTGGACCCAGAGAAAGTTAGGTTGTATGATTTTCTTTATGTTTGGTAGACAGAAGGTGCCTATTAATGTAAAAGTAAATACACTGGGTGATATGCAAGGAGGTAAATTAATTATCTGAAGTGTCAGAGTCCATGGAAAGTGAAAATAGTATAGTTCTCTTAAAAGATTAAGTCAAAACCCAACAAAATAAATACCAGTCAATGTGTACTACAAGAGAGGACAGTGGGGGGTAAGGTGAGAGGGGTAGGAAATTGAAAACTATAGAATACAGGCAAGAATCCATTGTATACTTCCCAGAATTGATATATACAAAGCAATGTGTAGTGTGAAATGGGGGTGAAGATGTTGAAGTGGTAATACAATTCCAGGTGTATTGTATACATAAAATGTTTTGTTACATGGCAAGTAATTCGATACATAACATAATATTGAGTTAAGTAAGGACTGGGTTGAATGGGAGGGGTGGATGAGAATGTGGGAAGGGGTGACATTAATCAAGATGCACTGTATCCATACACTGTTTCAGTGAATGGCAACTCCTTTGTACAAATACGTAAAGATAATAAAAACATTCAAAAGGTTAATTATGGTAGTTGAATAGAGCATTGAACCTCAATTCAATTCTCATTTAATAATATTTGCAACCTGGAGGTTTGGAGAATAAAGGTCAAATAATAAAACATTATGAATAGTTTTTTTTCAAAAATTTGAAATTTAAATCAATTCCACTTTGCTTTTTGTCCGCTATTGGGCTGTTCTAAGAAAATATTTCAAATAAGTGCATTAAAAACATCAGGACTATATTACCCGTACTCTAGAAGCTTGAACATTGATTATAAAAATGGTTATTCAAAGCAAATCTTTGTCTTATGGCGGTCTACTTTCTGGTTAATTATAATCTGTTTGCTGGACATTCACATGGCAGACTAGTTATATTGGGCTTCTTTTATCAGGATCATTATTGCAGGGTCATCTCTGAAAGGCTGATTCTAATGTCACCAGAAAGTGGAATAGAATTTCAATATGTGTAATTGGAAGGAGTTAGAGTGTCCAATACATTTTGCAACTTTTTCTTTAACTCAGTGAAGTGTATCATTTGGATATTATGTCATAGAAAATAATAACTTAAGGACAAACATATATCGTGTAAATTATGTGAATGATTCTACTTACAATGGGAATAATTGTAGTGATGACAAAGTGAAGTATGATTGTTTTAACGCTGTTGAATCACATCATAGGTAATCATGTAAACATGTTAAGCCTTTCTAAGGCCCTTCTGATATATTTGAACAATCTCCAATGAGTTAACTGCTTTCAGAAATACATATCTCCTTAGATTTTAATTGCTGTCTGCTATTAAGACTCCCACAGACACCAAAATTAGAGGATGCTAATTTCTCTGGTAAAACATATAATTTTTATAATTAATATAATATGAAGACTGTAACATTAATATCATTATAAATTCTAGTGTTCACATTATATAATATATTGACATCCTTTGGTTACATCAATTTTCAGAATATTTATAACAATGTAAATAGTTTGCAAATACTTATTTGATGATGTATAGAAAATGAGAAAAAGATTTGTTTACATATTTACTAGAGATGCAAACAGATTCGTCTGGTTATATCTGATCCTTCCTTTGTTGGTTTCATTCATGCATGGAGAACATGCAGAGAAGTGACAATTGGAACCTTGTTTACAAAAGGGTTAACTTACATGAAGTTTATGTTGGGCTAAATAACAGATTTTATAAATTAAAGTGTTTTTGTCACTTCCTTCCTTCCTTCCTTCCTTCCTTCCTTCCTTCCTTCCGTCTTTCCTTCCTCCCTCCTTCCCTCCATCCCTACCTCTCTCTTTTACTCTCTTCTTTTTTCTTTCCTTCTTTCCTCCTTTCTTTCTTTCTTTCTCTTTCTTTCTTTCTTTTCTTCTATTCTTCCTTTCTTTCTTTTACTCATAATATTTCTTAAGTGTATACATAAAATACCAATGTTTTATATGCAATTATAAATATTAACTAGATTAATATTAATTTTAATGACATGTTATATCTTAAAGCAAATTGTACTCAAAACCACTTCACAAAAGTTGCAGGATATGAAACAAATATTACTATTCATGATATTGTTTATTTCTTCAAACTAAAATAAGAATTTAGACATAATGTCCATGTGTGTGCATGTGGGTGGGTGTTATTCTTGTGATTTGAACTCAAGGTCTATGCCTTAGTTTTTTTCACTCAAGGATAGTGTCCTAAGGTTTGATCCACAACTCCACTTCTAGCTGTGTGTGTGTGTGTGTGTGTGTGTGTGTGTGTGTGTGTGTGTGTGTGTGATTGAGATGTGTCTCACAAACTTTCTTGCCAAAGCTGGCTTTGGACCCCAGCTTCCTGTGTAGTAAGGATTACAAGCTTGAGACACTCATATTCAGCATAGATATAATATATCTAAGAATAAAATAAATTTATGATTTGAATTCTAGAGGCTCAATTTAATAAATTAACATTTAGATATTTATTTAGTTGTTAAATCTGAACCTGCACTGTGGAAAAATACTTTTCATTTTTATGAAAAAAATATACACTTGAAGGTTTAAATGACAGAATCTGGGCAAATTGAAATACTCTATTATTCAAAAGCGACAAAGGGATTATTAATCAAATTTCTAATGTAAGATAAAATCAATAGGCTCTGTCAGGATGAATGAAGCAATTTGTCATTAACTTTGATTATTATCTACAGGAGTTACATGATTTTCTCTACATTTTACCCAAAATGCAGATTCATACATTTTTGAGTATACAGAAATCGTAGTTAATGGTCATGTATTTCTCAGGTTGGAGTACCAAGTCATTTCAGAGAAAAATTGAATTTCATGTATTTTATGTCAACAGTGATTTTGAGAAATTGAATCAATCTTAATATGAGCTAACTCAAGCAAGATATTCCATGACTTTTCCAATTATTCCTATAGACTTGAATATAACTTATTATTGAATGGCAGGAAATTCATATTATACCAACTCTCTATAGAATAATTAAGAAATAAATGACCGTGATAGCATTCATTTTTCCTTCACTAGAAAAAATGAACCTTGCTATAGGCGACAAAATACTTCAATGGAAATGCCATAAAATTATGAAAAGTTCAAGTCACTATAAGTTGAATGAAATAGTTATTTTTGAAGGTCACAAAATGAAATCTCTTGAAGCTTCTTTATCTGTTAAATAAAATGTATTTGCATTTAAAATATTTCATTCATCTCTCCTACAGTGGTATAACCAAACCAACTCCATGCCAAATAGTTTATCTGATTAATTCAAGTAAATATTTAGGAACAGAAGTTATCACACTTGTATAGACATATTTACCCACCATTCTAGAAATTAAATCTGAAATCATATAGGATTGGGATTAATAATTAGCTTTCACTATGTTGCCATAAATAGGTGGTGAACCTTTTCAAGTGGGCTCAGTTGTAGAGGTATGGTCACTGAGAACTTGTGATCAAAGAAGATGTTAAGATCAAAGTCCTTTCCTCCTCTTCCTTCTTTTCCTTCTCTGTCTCCTTCTCCTTTTCCTTCTCCCTCTCCCTCTTCCCCTCCTCCTCTTTCTCTCTTTCCCACTCCTATTCCTCCTCTTCTTTACTTTCTGCTTTCCATGAATACACATGCTCAATCACATGTTCCTGACATTGGGTTCTGTGGCACCACCAAACCCAAGCAATGAGGATAAGAAACATAAACTGAAATGTGTAAAATCAGATGCCAAGATTAATCTTTCCCCCTTATTAATTAATTTTATAAAATATTTTGTCATATTAATAGGAGACTGACACAGCATGCTCTCATTTATTATAAGGGATAGGATTTACTGGAAAACAATCTGACTAACATCACCCTAATGAAATGATTGATCAAATTAATATTATATTAGGACAAATCTACTTTAAAATATCAGATATATTTCAACAAGAGGCAAAAAATTCACCTCTATGGTTTGCTATGAAAAGACAACAGAATTCAATCTGTTCCTCAAGGAAATTGACCTATAATTGGCAGTATTGTCAATTTCATAAATGATTTAAGAAGACTGAAGAACAAATTTCAACTCTACCTAAGAGATAAAATTTACTTTGTCCCTGTAAACAACCTTTGTATTCTATCTATGTTTGGTCTACGAAATGACTTGTATTCTATTTTAGTCATATTTTTCATTGACTTTAAGTAGTAGCATGGGAGTTGCTGTTTGACCATGCAGTTTATGAACAGTTTTTAGTGAATTATTTTGTTTTCTTTCTTCTCTCCTGAGGTTTGAACTCTGGGTCTGGGCGCTGTGCATGACCTCCTTTCGATGCACACTAGAACTCTATCACTTGAGGCACAGCAGGACTTTCAGATTTTTCTGACATTTAATTGGGGATAAGAATCTCACAGACTTTCCTACCTGGGCTGGCTTCAAACCTCATTCCTCAGCCTCTTGAATATCTAAGATTACAGGAATGAGCCCTTAGTGCCTATCTTAATAAAATGCATCTTTTTCTTTTTGACCAGTCCTGGGGCTTGAACTCAGGGCCTTGGCAATGTCCAAGAACTTCTTTTCCTCACACTGGCACTTTACGACTTCTGTCACAGTGCCAATTCCAGCTTTTTCTGTTAATGTAGAACTGAGGAATCAAACACAGGGCTTCACATTATTCCCCTAAGACTACCACTAAGCCACATTGCCAGCTCAATACAATGCATCTGTTTTATAATTTTTATTTTTTGTTAACAAACTCTACAGAGGGGTTACAATTACATGGGCAAGATTATGAGTACATTTCTTATCAAGCATTGCAGCCTCCTCCTTTGTTTACCCTTCACATCCCTTCCCAGCCTCCCCCGTCCCCCCACCTAATCCCCGCCCCCCACCAAAGTTGTAAAGTTC